TTTTTATTTTACGTTTGTCGTTTCTTTCGAAAATATTGAACTGCATTGATGTTCGTGAATCAAGTGAAAATTGGAAGAACAATATCAATATCAATATGTGTCAGTATTTAGAACCCTCGTCTCTGATTTTCTGTAATTGATTTGTTGACTAAATTTATATTTTTACTTCTGAATCTATGTCATTTCAAAATAGATTTCCGGTAAAATACGCCAAATTTTATTCAAGATTGATTTTCTGATTAACGCATAATTATATGAACTTTATGTTAGATGATGTCTCTGAAGCATGACCGTTTTAACAAGCGTTTTACTATTCTTAAATAATCTTACAGCTTGCATTTTCCAGATGACCGAACCCCGAACCCCACCTATGTGTGAGCTTTATTGTGCTAGTCTGTCATCAATGCTCATTAACAGACTTATGCTGGATATAAATCAATATTCGGTGAACCTGACTGATTTGGAGACACTTAACCGCGTGCCTAAACCATTAATTAATTCCCTTATTGTTGGAATGGTGAGTGTGGGAGGCCTTTAAAAAAAATTTATATCAAGTTTACTAAATTTAATATTGATTTTATTTTTTCGCTCTACCTCAAGTTGAATTCCGATTTCCACTATACACCAGTCAAAACTTCAGCCAATTTACACCTCACATGTATTTGCATAGGCTAGTCTGCTCACAGGTATTCGCATACGGGTAGTCTGCTCACATGTATTCGCATACGGGTAGTCTGCTCAAATGTATTCGTTCACGGTTAGTCAGCTCACATGTGTTCATATACGAGCTGTCTGTACACACGATCCCAGACTTGTATTGCAGACACTTACTGTGCATGTTGCCTCAGTGCCGACCGCCGGCACAAGCCCTCAGATCCCACCATTTATCAGAGGTCCCAACACTCATGGCTGGAGATAACTTGAGATCAGTAGCTAGATGGCCCGAGCTTTGCGTATCAACGAAGCTAACAGGAATATTCTAGGAGAATGAGTATTGCCACTTTGTGTTATGCGGCTGCTATAGCTTTTGGATTGCCTCAAATCATACCAGTTCTCCATTTAAATAATTTTAGTAATTGTGTTCTTTGAGAAACTTTATGCGCAACGGTTGTTAAAATTATTTAACTAATGGCAGCAAATTTTTTCAATTATGAATTAGTCAGCTTTTTTAGAGCGTTCCCTATGTCACATGGTTTGCTCTCTAATTTTGATCTGCATAAATAATTTTCTCGGAATACCAATGTTCTAGAAATAGCATGATACTTATTTATGAACAACTTCTTCATTTATGAATTAAGAATGTAAAGGCTGTCTGTCGTAATTTTTTCAACTTGATCGGTAATTTAATGTATTTTCCTCTGTTAGCATGAATTAATTTTTTTTTCTTTCAAAAATTTTATTGGTACAATGACATCCAAAAGAAGTGAAATTACACATAAAAAATAATTAAGTTATAAAAGCTGTAAAGTAGCCATAATTTTGTGCCAGCCGTTCAAGGCCGACGTGAAAATATTATTGTGATGAGAATCGTTCAAAGAGTCGACAACTCAAAAATTAGTTTCAAAAAATGTACATTCATCGATACTACTTTAGTCACAATAAATATTAAACATGCACTCAAATATTGCTTTCAATGCTATTTATTCAAATCACCCGCGTAAGGACGCTCGTTGAATAAATGAAGAAGATGTGTCGATGATTTTAATAAAATAAGGTTCAGTAAAATGTGGATGGCAAAAGCTGAACATTACTCGTTCATGAATTATTACGTGGATAAAATTGTGTTCAGCGACTCAGAATAAAATATTTTACGTTATGCATGCTACATCACTCATATTTAATACATCCTTTTCATCGAGCGCTTTACACACACTCATGGGAATTTTTATGAAACTATCATAAAAACGGGTTAACTGTTTAAAAAAGATTGGGTTTTATTTTTAACAAAAATATAAAGGTAATTAAAATCTCATAAATTATTTCTAAGAATTTTCAAACAATATTTTCCTGACTGAAAATTTATTTACATTTTCATTTGTCACATATAATCACCGAAGCTATAATATGATTACATTGGATAACCTGGAATTCGGCTAGTCGAAAGGCAATTTGAGGTTAAGATTACATTTCTAAATACTAAAAAAATGTCTAAAGCTCAAATAATCATTTCTAAAAAATCCACTTCTAATTATTTACATTCGGGCCTGTAAATATGTTCTTATTTATGACGTTAGAAAAGCCAGCCGAAAAAAAGCCAACTGAAAGTCAAGCAAAATACGCTATTAACCTCCAGAATGAATAATCACCCCCTCAAATCCACTCTTGTACAGCACGAACGCCTCTGATGCTGGAACAAATTCACTGTTTTTTGTAGCGGAACTTTGTCGATGTCGCTTGAGGTAAACATTGACAAGTTTCGCTGTAAAAGTCCCGCTAGCGAACACCTCTTCCACGCAGGCACTAGAAGTCTTGTGAATCAGGCGTTGTTCGCGGCCTCTCCGCCTCAACTTGTTATAACTTAGCCAAGAAGTTAAATAGGTAAATAAATAAACCTTAAGAATGCTCATTATGGAGAATAGCTGTAAGGCCATCTCGGGGTTACTTACTGTACAAGACCTGATGTAGCGTCTGCCGTCTCACTTCAGAGATCAGGATGAGGAAGAACAGAGGTGTTTGTTTTTAATGCCACTCACGTCAAGGTCCAAAACGTGTCATTTGTAGTCCAAGGTTTGTCTTTAAAGTTTATTGAGCATCATGATTGTTTCCGACGTAGTCATAAAACCTACATACAATGCTAGGAAAGAAATAGAGATACTTGGAAGTTTGAGCTTCCAAGGTTCAGTTAATACAAGCAAATTGAAGTTTGAGAGGAAAGTCAAGCAATTAAATTCGTGCAGTGCAGTGTGTAAAGAGCAAGGAAAATTTCACTTTTTGACCAAGACGTTTTTATTGCACCATCAAACGAGGACGTATAATTCGGCGATTGCAAAGCCCGGTACGGGAACCAGTTTTCATATGACGCTTGAGGTGCATGTAGACTTGTTCAGATATATATTTTTAGCGCATTCTCTCATTTATGAACAAAAGGCGCTATTGTGCTCGTCATGTCCGTCCGTCTGTCTGTCCGTCTGTCCGTCCGTGACTTTACGTTTTCGTCGACCAGAAAATGCGCTCTCTGTCACTCGCTGCAGTGAGTACTGAGTTACATTTTTTCTATTTATTTTGAGTTAACCATAAATAAATTTAAAGCTTTCCAGCTGTGCCATGAAAATTATACCTTAATGCAAAGGAAACGCTATTCAAAAGTGCCACTATTTCAAGAAATTGAAGAAAATCAGGTGTTCTCAGCTGGAGCACCTTTCACTTGCTCCTCATGCAGTTGTAACAAACTCTTCATGTTCCCTATCTATGTTGGCATTCGATACATCACTGTATTACTCGGTGCACCCTTTAATATTTATCACAAAATGAATGTTTCATTTGAAAATATATCTTGATTTAAATTTAGAACACATGTTCTGTGCTTAAAAAATCAATCATTAGTTCTGCAAATTTACTATAGTGCCATAAGGTTGTGTCTATCACGGTAAAATAATTCTATGTATCATTGTCCTTACGTAATTACTAATAAACGCAATTGTGCTACAATGCTATCTACACGTTACATAGCCAGTATATGTCCTTGCACCATGATTAATACACATAATAGCGATACAATCTATCTCTTACACTGTCAGTATATCGGTTACCGTGCTCTGTTAGTACATACCCAGTAAAAATTTACAGACGTGGCAGCTTCTGATTTGGAGTACCAGAAGCTGGGGCGACTCTAAATTTTATTACAGTGAAAATTTACAGACGCGGCAGCTTCTGATTTGGAGTACCAGAAGCTGGGGCGACTCTAAATTTTGTTAGTACACAGCGTTTCTGCCTCAAAGCGCCCGATGCTCTTCAGCAATACCGAGCTTCTCAAAGTCTAGGCTTCGTCCTCCAACTGAAAGAACTTTTGGAGTAAGTTTAATCACCCTCGAGCCTCCGAGATAAAGAAAGTCTTTTGTTTTTCTGAGTCAACCAATTTGAAGCGCCGAGAAAAATGCTTTATTTTCGCGGTGACGCACGCGAAGAATTCAACACAAGCCCCCAACGGCTTCCAATTTCACATATAATTTTCGACCATCTTCTCGCACATGAATGAATTTAATGTACCTCCTTTCTGATCAAGATTAATTAAACCACATATTCCACATCATGGTTTTTCATCTCAGCCAAGAAGGCAGTTCGATAAAACTTATTCCGGTCATCATATGTAATACAGTTCGGATTTTTGGTCAGAATCTATGGAGCTCTCACTATTTTCATTAACTTTGAATATAAAGGAAAAATTCTGTTTTAGGATTTGAATTCTTTTCTTTTAATTTGATTTCATTCATTCTTATTCCTAATTTGAGGAGACCTATGCTCTAAAAAGTTCTATTCAGAAACGGTTAATTTCCTATTGCAGTTTAATACTTCTCCAACTAATTGGACCATTTAGTTTCCATATTTAATATATGAGTGTAGGGTATGTATGATTCTAAAATTATTTCTTTCTACGTGATATTCGCTGGCTAGCATTCTCGGTAATTGTTACCTATTTTTTCTTTCTGCTACCGGCGTTGAAAAAATACAAGCATGGTATTCTCAAACCACTTTTAATGCATACAATAATCGAGAATATATTGAGATGGCCCAAAGGAAAATATATATTATTGAAACCACGTTTATAATTTATAAAAATATAACTTAGTACTCACTGCAGTGAGTGACAGAAAGCGCATTTTCTCGTCGTCGAAAACTTGAGGTCACGGACGGACGGACGGACGGACAGACAGACAGACAGACGGACATGGCGAGCACAATAGTGCATTTTTTCCATAAATGAGAAAATGCGCTAAAATGCATTGAAGTGTAAAGTTATAACATGCCAAATATCACAAATAAACAATAATCCCATCGTCACAATGCTGCCAACTCTATCGTGTGAAGCGATCGTCACGCAAGCTGCAAGTAAGATGAACGTGGCAGGATGATTCCACATGGACGTGGCAACCTGCGCGTATCAGGACGAAGATCTGCAGAGAGAAGGGGATTGATGTGGCGTCGTGTATCACCGTTAGCAGAAGTGCGTGCTGCGCCAGGCAGTTGTACATCACAAACATGGACCAGTTCATGAATTCATGCCCTGGGAGTGTATTTATGGCACCCCGACGACACCATTGCATGTATATGAAGCCTCCGACGCAATGGGAGCTACGTATTGGACTGATAGTATTAGAGAACACTGAAATATTTTGTCAATAATTTGCTCTTTGTGAGATTTATATGCAGTAGGTACTACATTAAAAGTATATGAATTAAATTTATATGCAATACTAAATAAAGAGCATATATAAAATAAAATTATATGCAGTACTAAAGTAAAATCATTGTTCGTAGTATATCAAGTTTGTAAACATTCAAAAATATATTAAATAGACCTTTTAATGAATGTTATGGAATAACAGATATTAATAATATAATGCCCGGTTTAAATTTTGGTATTAGTTACGAACTATTAGTTTCTGTAAAAAAATTCAGAGTTTCTTCATTTTTATAAGTTTATCTACAGGTATATGGCATGCATATCGAAGAGCTGTGCATGATGAGCAAACAATGATTGTAAGCAGAGAAAACATTGCTTAGCAGTGCAGAGCAACAGGACTAAAAACACTTGAGCGCGGTTGAAATTTGCGATCAAATGCAACATTTTTATGTTAAGTTCTCTCAATCTCATGCTTTCCTAAATCCGGCAGTAATCCCTGTCGCCGCGCACTTTTTGGGCGTCTTTGCGGACCCAAACAATTCGACAGGAAATTCCGCGACTTGAATATATGCGGCGTGCTAGTGAAAGCCTTCCCATTAGCGTCGCGTGTGGATTCCTGATGCACCGACGCATGAAATTTTCGCGTTTTGTGCAGGTAGGAATAAAGCTTACATTTCCGTTCATTGGTACACCTGCAGATTCGGACTCGTAATTTTTTAAAGATTCCCAAAATTCTTTTCTTTTCGTTGAAAATTCGTTAATCCGTAATAATTCACGGAAAATCTGAAATCGTTCCTGAATTCAACTCATCACCTAGACGCGAAACCTACAGATAAATGCTTCCGGCAGAACCGCATCATTATAAATTTTGGCTCTTGTGCTGATCCGTCGCTGCCATGGATGAAAGTATGCTTCAATGGTTATAGCATTAAAGTTAAATATTGGCCAACTCCCCCAATTCGATGCACACCATGAATATTACATCTCTTTTTAGCGCATTTTCTCATTTATGGAAAATGGCGCTATTGTGCTCGTCATGTCCGTCTGTTTGTCTGTCTGACCGTCCGTCCGTCCGTCCGTGACTTCACGTTTTCTTCGACGAGAAAATGCGCTCTCTGTCGCTCACTGCAGTGAGTACTGAGTTATATTTTTTCATCATCGCCTCAGGTGCAATTATAAGACTCACTGATTCTGCAAGTATTATTTGATTCGCAATATTTTATTTTGAGAATTATATGCACTTAAAGACGACAATCATATCAGTTAAAAAAGTAGCCTGATGAAGTTCGCCATACAAGTCGTCAACTTGAGCAGAAATGAAATGTCAATTTCGAAATTTAACCAAACTCTGTGATTTGACAATTATGACTACTTTAATACTACCAAAAGCGTTTCCAAATTTTGTGTAATCTATAAAGTTTTTTATTTTTTATTGCCATCAAAATGTGGCAGCCCATTTCCAGAAAATATATTAGTTAAAAACAATGATTTCGATGTAGCACTTGCTCGAGGTCACTGGTTTGAATAAATATAAAATTTTGAAATTTTATCAACGAAACACGGAAATTAGCAGTTAATTAATGTCATCGTAGTGCATGTAGCCACAATTGTGACCAAATTTTATAAATAGAAATCAATCGGAATCGTAGTTACCGCAAAATATTCACTTAGCATTAGGAATTGTTCGAAATTCTGAAATAAATTTAACCTTTTCAAATGCGGAATTGGACGGTTTCAATTTTTTAACCTATTCAAACGCGGAATCAGTCACTTTTTAAGCGTTGGTTTGGACGCATAGGAAATGAAGATCAGGCTCTACACTTCTGGCCACCGAGATCACCTGATCTCACCCCATGTGACTATTTCTTATGGGGTTACGTCTCTACCAGCAACTCTGTTTACGTCACGCTTCTACCAGCAACTCTGTTTACGTCCCGCCTCTACCTGCAACTCTGTTTACGTCCCGCCTCTACCAGCAACTCTGTTTACGTCCCGTCTCTGCCAGCAACTCTGTTTACGTCCCGCCTCTACCAGCAACTCTGGTTGATCTGAAGAACCGTATCACTGCTACGGTGCACTCAGTAACAGAAGATATGCTTTCTCGTGTGCGGGACGAGTTTGGCTACCGTTTAGGTGTTTGCCGTGCAGCACAACAGTTATAAATATGAAAAAAATAATTTTAATTTTCCGCTTTGCAATGGTTTATAAAGTATTCTTTTAAATTCATACACAAATAAATACGAATTTATTAACTTGGGTACATCATTTAGAACAATCCTTTACAATTGCCTTGATTATCAATAGCAATCGCATATCTAACATTTGCAATTGTTTTGAAACGAATGTAAACATAGCAACCTTCATCAATCTTCGTCGATTGATTGCAAATATCTTACGCTTATTCAATCATAAGTGAACAGGCAAATCGATGTTCTATTTGCACTTCGATAAGCTTGGCTATAAAGCTTGAAATAAATTCAAACATTTTCCCAATTGTGATATTAATCACTCAACACTTTTTGCGGAAGAGCAAAACCTGCACCAAGTTTCAATATTCCAATCATCAGATATTCTGGAGCTCCAAAAGATTTCCAGCAGTTTACTTCTTATGTCATTCTACAACTTCATTGATGGGAAGAGAATAATCGCTCTATCTTGTCAGGAAAATTGTTACAATGTAGGTATAATTTTGTATGAAGAGCAATTTCTCGGGAAAAGTTAGGACAGTGCGTACTGCGTTCATCGATTTTCCTATCTCCGAAAACGTAATTTTTTTAGTATAGTTATTCATTTGGAGCTTGAATGATAATGGCTTGTTCTGTTTCATTATAAATCAATTAATTTTTGACGCTCTGGTTTGGATTGAAGGTCAATTTTAAAACGACGGTTTTAGATTGACGGTCAATTTTTTAAAATCCAATTTTAGTTTCTTTTAGCTGAATTCTGTTACGGAAAGATATATACTGTGTATACTATCACTTCTTCACGAAACACAAAACTCTTATCGCATATAAAACATTTTACTCATCAGACATAAAGAATTTTATTTATCTTTTTACCGACTAGGAAAACGATTTGCGTGTGCCTCAGGAAACGCCAGAGCGCGTACGCTCCCAAACGTTTGCAGGAAGTTGCCGCATTTTAAGCCATGACGGGATTCAGTTAGGCTGGGCATGCAGCCGGAAACAGGCTTTTAATTGGCTCGACCCCAAGAGAAATCAAACCCTGTGTGTTTCGGACGCTTTTCTCGCCTTGGAGGCGCATCACAATTATAGGGCTTGCACTTGGCCAAATTCTTGCAGCTTTTAGGTGACATTCTTTGAGTTACGCTGAACCTAATCTATTGCTGGGCTTTAGTTTGCAATTCTGAAACTACCGAGTGTTTTTATGATTACAAAACTAGTTGTTGAAAAAATAAATTATTGTTAAAAACTTACTGCAGCGTGTGTCTCAATATACACGTAAATATTTATTTTCTTATTTTCGTTCATATGTACAAATAACGATTTCTTGCTAAACTTTTAGCTTCTTAATTCCGAAGTATATGATAAAAATTATTATTAATTTATATTTAAACCAAACAAACATAACAAGAACTTCAGTGGAACCAGTAAAATCATTCAATTCCCTCGGTCTGATGCACTGACGACTAGGACTAATTCCCTCGGTCTGATGCACTGACGACTAGGACTAATTCCCTCGGTCTGATGCACTGACGACTAGGACTAATGATCGCGGATCGATAATCATTTCGTGATGCCCGCAAAAAAAGTGGAACGTGGGGCATTAGTTTATATAACAATCGTAAATTTAGCGCCTTTGTAATTTCTTCTCATGTAGGCGCCTACTCTCACCCTAGATAGAGCGTCCACTGATGAAGTCATATGAGAGATTGATTACCTCAGAGATGCTCCGGCGCTCCAGAGACATCGCGCCAAAATTATGCGATAACCGAAGTTCTGTCCACGGCTACTCGTATGCATCGAATAATAATTACTGGTCATAAGCAATTGAAACGTCGAGAAAATTTTTATAGGTCCGCATGTTTTTATACCTAAAAAGGTTTTAAATTTGTTATTAATTCGTTTAAGTTTATCATAATAATTGGGAATAATTATTATAATGACTCTCTCAATGGATATTTTAATCGTTATTCATTGAAATCGCGGCCACTCGCCTATATAATATATATAATCGCGTACTTCTCATTGGCCGATGAATTGTTTAAGAATAAATAATATTTGTACAAATCTGTAAATTCTACCTACACCAAAAAATTAGAGCAAATGTAATGTAAACTCACCGATGCGACATTATTTAACGTTTCACCAACTGTGGTTGATTGTCATGCATGTGTACAGAAATTTTCCCGAAACAAATATCAAATTTCATGTTTTTGACGCAATTAGGAGACGGGCGCATCAATAGAAATCTCATGCTACTATTTATTTAATTTTATGAAATGAACAACCAGGCACTGAATTGCGTAATTGAATTAATTATTCAATACCTTTTCCCTACCAAATTTACCTCTATAACTGAATTTGTGCTCGAAATAAATTAAATAACTTCAATATTATTGTTTAATCACTCTCGTAATAAGTGTGTCAATTATTTATTTCTTGATTATTTGTATTTAGTAAAAAAGCATTCTTTAAGTAAGCAAATTATGGAGCCTGGATAATCAATATTAAATTTTAATTAATGTCTTTCGTGCTATGAAGTAATTAATTTATGTTGAAAATATCGTCTATACGTTGTTTACACGACTATCTGCAAGCATGGCTGCTAGGTTTCTATCTTTTTAAGGCTAGGATGACCTTATAGTAGTATCATCATATATAGTATAACTATATAATCGTAGCGTTCGTATACAACACCAATAATTAATTCAGTGGATTTTCATGCTTTAAAGCACCTTAAGAAGATTATTTAATTCAATTAAACATAAGGGAAAGCAAAAAAAAGACTTAATTGTTTGAATCTCATTTAAATGAACCAGCATTGGTAAACGCTTTGTTCGCTCTGCAATTTCTCAATGGTATATCATTGAAATCCTGTGGTCGATTGCGAAACAATTATTCACAAAATGTTCAGGAATTTGGCAAACCGGAATTTTAGTGTACTCATCTTTTACCTTTTGTAAGGTTTTAATAAACTGTGTGCTTTTACTTAGACAATAGGGCAATATCGTGTGATATTGCCAATCCTAATTTGAAGTCTGTGCCTGTTTTACTACCGTTATTTCCATCGAGTGGATCTATAATAGGTGAATAACCTGGAGAACCCTAAACGATTTCGATCAACAGGACTATTGTTGAAAAAAATATATTTGATTACATCCATGATCTTTCTTCATTATGACCTCTTAACAAATTCTTATGTAGATGTTTTTTACCAGGTTTTCAGAAGTAATGTTTCAGCTGAGAACTATTACTCACGGATGAACGATACCATGACGATAGGTGCTGCATCTTGTTAATACATGGTTCATTTTCATGGGGGTCAATATTAGTCGTGTATGGAGATGAATGATGCAGCATTCGCTGCTATCACATTCAGTATCGAGCCAGACTGCACTTCCTGCCTGCCCTGACAATGGCCATGATAAATTACCACGCAGATCACTTACCATTTTTTTAAATTCCTCGGGAGCCGCAACAGTATTATTATTCTCGTCCAAATTTGGAAATATCCTCTGAAAAACTATGGCGGCAAAAATGCATTGATTTTTTCTTTTACGCGGAATACACGCGATGCAATGATTATAATATTTGCTGTCTGTTGAGTTTTCGAGGTCTGAGGTGCGATGCTGGAGAAAAGTGCGGCGCCCAAAGGAACATATGCATAGCCTCAATTTATCACTTTGAGTAGAGGAGATAATTATTTTACTGCATTTGAAAGTTTAATATGTGGTCAAACAGTAAAGACTATTTCGTAGAATATTTGGATGAAATTTACTGCTAATAATACATTTCGCGCCTTCATTTGCCAAATAAAATCATTACTTAACTAATTAAATACATCATCAGATTTTAAACAAGGGAATTGTTATTAAGCAAATGAAGTAGAACACCTAAAGCCCTTACTTCTCTGATATTGGTACGCAATTTTAAAAGGCTTTCTGATTTGAAGATTGATAATGAAATGAATGATAAGAGGGCAACACAAATAAAGCCTATTGATGATTGTTTAGCTCATTCCAGAAGAACTCAAAAACTTAGATTAATGTTTATGAATTGCATATGCTAAAATTTTTTCATTCTATTCCGATGAAAGCTTTGAAAATTACATCTACTTCATTTCAATCATTCATCTAGAATTTCAATCATTCATCTTGAGAACTTATTGCAATAATGATGCTAATTTTGTTTTCAGCTTTAAATCATTCCCTGCAAAACTCATTCTGTTTTTTTTTAATATTCACTATTTATATTTCCTTCGCATAATTTTTTTCATCGTCGATATTTAATTATGTTCGTTTGAGTTCTGAATATATTTTTAACGCTTCCTCTTGAATTGAAATCATTTCCGCATCAACGCTCTTTTTACCGCATTTTCTCATTTATGGAAAAAAAACGTTATTGTGCTCGTCATGTCCGTCTTTCCGTCCGTCTTTCTGTCTGTCCGTGTCCGTCTGTCCGTGACTTCACGTTTTCGTCGATTTTGAGAAAATGCTCTCTCTGTCACTCACTGCAGTGAGTACTGAATTTTTTTATCCATATAACTTTCCGCCGTATTACTGTTTTGGGCACCTCGGGTTCGCATATATGTTATAACATAACAATATATTCGTGGCAGCGCTGATTAAGGCGCGTTGGCCCGTCTCTGATTCTCAACCACCCATGCAGCCATCATGCCTATTCGGACCAGAAATTTCACAACTAGATACGAGCTTCAAACCCCCAACTCGCTGCCTCAATCTCAGTAATTTTAATCAGAGAATCACCTTGAATTAAACATAAAGAAGCTGGATTACCTAATGAACGAATAATTCCTGCATACTTGTTATCAATTAGGTAAACATCAATATAAAACTGTTTGTTTCAGTCATAATTGCTTCATGGATGCCCTTACATTCATGTTCATGTTAAGCGTTATGTAGCCTAAGGATTAAGTGTTCCGGATATAATTTTGATTTATCGATGTGTTTATAGTAATATGATTTATTGGTGTGTAGATAAAATGTTGATTTATTAGTCTGTAGATATTTTGTTGATTTATTGGTGTGTAGATATTTTGTTTATTTATTGATATTTTCATATTAATTTGATTTATTTGTGTGTAGATAAAATGTTGATTTATTGGTGTCGAGATGTAATGTTGATTTATTGGTGTCGAGATGTAATGTTAATTTACTGATATTCTCGTATTAATATGATTTATGTGTGTGTAGATATTATGTTGGTTTATTGGTATTTCGTATTAATTTGATTTATTGGTGTGTACATCAAATGTAGATTTATTGATGTGTTGATATAATGTTGATTTATTGATATTTTCATATTAATTTGATTTATTGATGTGTAGATATAATGTTGATTTATTGCTATTTTCATAATAATTGGATTTATTGATGTGTAGATATAGTGTTGATTTATTGATGTGTAGATCAAATGTAGATTTCTTGATGAGTAGATTTAATGTTAATTTATTTGAAATAATGTTGATTTATGATATAGTAGATTTATTGATGAGTGGATATAATGTTGATTTATTAATGTGTGCAGGTCTGCTGAGGCTACAGGACGTGTTCCAGTCAATGCGCCCCTCGAACGCCACCTTCAGGGTGAGGGTTGCTAGGAGGGTTACCTCCGCCACGGATGCCCTCAACTTCCTCAAGACCATCGAAAAGAACGACCGGTCAGTTATTAGAAGTAAAATTTTTGACTGGGTTATTAGATTTTATTTAGAAATGGTTTTCACTCGTAATAATTTCCTGTTCACCAAGTCGATAGGGCAATGAATAAATTTTCAAAGTGAAACTCATCCCTTTACAAAAATTTGTATTGAAAGAAGTTTCGTTACACCGATTGCTGAAAGTCTCTGAAAGAAAGGCTATGCGATTAAAATATCGGTAATAACTTAATTATATAATAATTTCTTTTGTATTTGTTGCGATTCAAACCATGGTTGACACATAATAACTGCATTAACCTGTGCAATCATTCAAATCCTGGCAATAATTCACGGACGGCCAGTTGAAGAAACTCTTAGTTTTTATTAAGTTACTTAGTATTTATTTAGACTTGTATGTGCAACTCATTCTGTCTCTCTTAAAGTTCCGTGCGTATTAAACAAAGCTTCACTCAATACCAAACCAACTTATTATTATTTTCATGTATAATCATTGTGAATGTGTCATGTATAAACCATACTTCATAAAGCCTATGTTGGACGTTGCTGCAATGCTGCTGCGCAGTACCTTGCATATTGTATAAAAGCTCGTACATCTCATCATATAATACCATATCATATCATATCCAAACAAATTCATTCGCCATATCGATCCTAACTTTGAATTTTATTTGATTTGTAGGTTATTTTCCGCTGGCCTGCATAAATTTTTATTACTTTTAGTCGATACATAGAAAAAATATTTCCGTTTTCTGTATCTTACGTTCTCACTAAATTTTACGATCAAAACTTTTGCAGAAACTTCATAATCTGAGTCTGCATTTTATGAACCCATTTGTGTATTGAGAAGCGCCTTCGGCGTAGACTGAATATGGCAACCCGAAAGTGGAACAACTTAATAAATAAAGTTAAATAACAAGCGTATGCTCAATTTTGCTCCCATGCAAGCGCATAGAAATGGATTCGTCAAAATATCTTAGAGTTACTTTGGTGTCGCTATTTATGATGACCGACCATACTATAACTGACTAAACTGAAGATACCGATCGAATCTCCTGTGCTAGAACGCTTAGGATATGAGCTGATTTTGCCAGCACCTATAGGTTTTAGCAAATTGTCATTGAATAAAGTTTTAAATTTAGACCCAAAGCATCATAAGCTTTTGTTTTAAGAAAATTTGACTTCCAGTATTCTAATTTCAATCATTTCAAAAATTTCAGTCTCTATTATAAATCGATATTAAATCTTGGTGAATATAATTTCCTAAATCTACTTTTTAAATTCAAAATTATGTTTTTGGGTTGATTGATATTTTGATATATAAGTTCATAAACATATACTTAGTGTAGTGTGAAAGATGTAGTGTGAAAAGATAACCCACAAATGTCGAAAAATTTTATCGTTAAGCAGATAGAAATCTCGGAGAAACCTCGGCAGCATCTTAAAATAATTATCATTGCATATTGTGGGCGTAAAACGTACATTTGTAATTAGAAATTCTTAAGTTCTCCTCAATTCAAAAACACAATCCATGAGCAAGGAGACGGTATACACTGAGCCTTTTGCCATAATCAGGAAGACGGTATACACTGAGCCTTTTTCCATAATCAGGGAGACGGGAAACACTGAGCCTTTAATCAGGGAGACGGTAAACACTGAGCCTTTTACCATAATCAGGGAGACGGTATACACTGAGCCTTTTTCCATAATCAGGGAGACGGTAAACACTGAGCCTTTTACCATAATCAGGGAGACGGTAAACACTGAGCCTTTTACCATAATCAGGGAGACGGTATACACTGAGCCTTTTGCCATAATTAGGGAGACGGTATACAATGAGCCTTTTGCTATAATCAGGGAGACGGTATACACTGAGCCATATGCCATAATCTGGGAGACGGTAAACACTGAGCCTTTTGCCATAATCATGGAGACGGTATACACTGAGCTTTTGGCCAACGCTCTGCATAGTGGTATGCTCTCTAGAATGCCAGCGCTTTTAGTAGAACGATCGCTATTGAAGCAAAGCATTTATGCTTTTATAACTTCCTTTTCCAGAACGAATTAATTTCTAGCTCACTACTTCATCGGCTTTAAAATTTGAGAATTGATGCAAGTTGCTTGCTCGTTTGCATAGATGCAGGGAATGGTCAGCTCGGACAACAAATTGAATGTAAGTCACAACTGACGGCCCCGGCAGGATAACGTGGTTACGTTCGCCTCGTGTGCCTTGGGTTTTAAGCGAGGCAAAGACGGATATCTTGCTTCTCATATTTGCTGACTGCGAAAGCGCGAGCAATAGTAATTATCGCGATGATTGTTCTATTGAAAAATTCTGTTGTGTCGCTATAGTTCAAATTCACGATAGCATACCAAACAAAATTGTCTTATTTTCTAATATACACACCACTCATGAGGGACTTTCTTCTACCTTTCTATGATTATTTTGCTGTAGTTTGCAATTCAGAAATATAAATAATTTAAATCTCAGTCTTAGTGCGATGATATCCATAATTTTATTTTAGGGTTTGTTAGGGTCACTTTTGGGCAAGCTTTTAATTGTACTTTCAAAGATTTACATACTTATCTTCATTTGTTTCCTTAAAATTCTTATGATTGAGCAATAATTACAATTATCCAAGCATACCGCCAATGTCTTAAAATATTCGACTTCCAACGCGGAAGTTCCAAGATAAGTATGTAATTCGTTTTTTTATTCATTATTCCTAAGGGTTTAGCATTGCACAAACTTTATGTAGCTAAAATTGAATAATTTACCTTTTATTTACTTCCTTAATTATTTGCGTACCTTTAGGACAGAATTAGACAGCGAAGTTCAGTTACCTGAAAATTTTAATTATTGTAACAACTTCAAAACGTGGCATTTTCTTTTACCAGTTGTCTCGTCTGGAATAAGTCACGTTAAAAGAAAAAAATACAACGTTTTTAATTAAAATCAAAACAGTTTATTTGAAAGTTTCAAAAGGTTTTTATTTTTATTTAGAGTACCTAAACATTGCACGCTCGTTCAATTATTCGATAGTGGCCTCTAAAATATATTTTGGCTGGCGGAATATTCTACAATAAAATGAATGTTATGAATCTAACAAATGCTTTGCAGATTTTGTTTTTTAAAAAGTAAGCAAAGATTTATGGCGGAGGTTGCAGCTGCATTGTGCAATTTACGACCGGGCCCGATGCTCGCCCTCATCTGCCCTCTGCACAAAAATGTAATGAATTCTAATGGTGGAAAAAACGAGGGACAAATCGAAGCAAATTTGGGCTCTCTACTGCGTACGTCGTCATGGGGATGTCTTGTATCGATGTTATTCTCTATTATCTTTGACCTTTGCCACTGAAAAATTTTTCGCGGACATGAAGCTTCATGACATTAAAATAACAATTGAAATGCAGATATATATGATGTTTGTCATTACCTAATAGCAGTGATTGGTGTGATTATAAACTTAAAAATAGTTTATTTAGCGTTGATTATGAATAAAAAATATATTATACAGCTGCAATATATACCGGAGCATGAATCGCGTAGGCATTGACCAAAAACAAGCTAAGACGCGTGTTTACCAGGCTGCTATTGCAAGGCTGATTCTATTTATATAGTGCAACTCGCATAGGTATAGAAATGGCACGTCACCTCACCACAATTACGATGTACACTAAAGCGGTTTCCTATCAGTATTTTCTTTTACAATACGCCTACGCCATAGGGAACTTCTACATCAGACAACCATGATGGGTCGAGTGTTGTGTAACTAATGTCTGATATATGCGTCTGTACGTCCCTTCTTTTCTGCCAATCTCCTCACTCAAATCAGAGACGAAACCGATTGTTAAGCACTTGTGTCTATCAATTTAACAAAGTTTCACATGTTTAATTTTAATTTAGTGATTTAAAGAATGGGTTATTTCTAGTTTATTATTATTGCCACACATAAATTGCTTTCTTTTGTCAATTAATTTGAACATTTGCCTATAGAAGAATGTAATCATTACAAAATTCGGAAAACCCTCCGAAGAACTAAGTATCTTCTGCTGATATTCGATAAAATCGATTAATAATGTTACGCCTGCAGACACCACCTAACAATTTGGAAAATATATCATTCATAGACAAGAAGATATAATTTAAGCTTGTAAAATTCATCTTAGAAGAAGTAATTCGATTTCCACTCAATTAAATAAACGCTGAATTTAATTTAGAAGAAGCATCAAATGCCTATTTATTAAGATAATTAAAATTTTTAAATAACAATAAAATATGGCTTTTGACGGCTTATTTTATACCACACGGAAATTTGAATTCTGGAAGGAAACTATAACCAAAACCAATATACACAGATTAAAGAGGAAAACACCAGAAGAGTCTGAAAATAATTTCAGCTGAAAACTCATACACGGAAAATTTAGCAATTTATAGTATTTATGAAACATTAAAAATTAAATTGACCTAAGGGCTCCATCAACTGTTACCCAAACATCAATGCCACTTGAATCACTGGCCGCTGGAAGTGATGAGATATTTTTATTATTATCAGCGAAAGTGATATTTTTTGTCAATCCTAAACAGTTTCGTAATTTTTACCTCATAATTGAACCCTCGTAATTTTGACCGCTATTACCACACGTTTTTTTACCAGAGCTGAGAGTTTCGTAAAGTATCCGCTGATCGATATAGTAGTGACCTCAGTATCATTGTCTGTATTATTTTCCCTATGGTGCAAACTTTTTCTGGGTTGAAATGCGAAATTGAACTAAGTATTATATAGAAGTACTTGTTTTGACGAAGCGTATCATTCATGCAATTCAGTTTTTTTGTGGCAAATTTGTTCTCGAATTTATGTTATTCTGTACACAGGAATGATTATCAAAAGAAGGTATTCAGTCTTTAGTTTCTCTTTCCTGAGAATATTCTTATAGTTTTGTTGATCATCTTTAAATGCATTGCTTTCCAACTTTCGAAAATCACATCATCTGCCCTTCATTTA